GTCGACTAACGAATACCAAAAACTTCCTATGAGGGTATCTGGAATCCCGGAATCTGAAGCCAATTGACCATAATACAGCTGGTATGACGTAAAACTTAGCTATGAGGTGCACGAAAGAGAACCCCGATCAACGAATAACACGAGATCTGCCGGGGGGGGGGGCTGGGGAAACCTCGCACACAATTTACACCACCAGCCAAGGACATCTGTAGAGTAGAATATTTATATCTCAAGAACACGGAAGAGGCCCATCCCTTTTTTTTATTTAGTCAATCTATGGGTAGGTTCTATCCTCTCTTGTTACTTCAGTCCGCGCCTTCTTAAGAACTCGGCTTCTCGGCGTTGGCATCGGCGCTCTCCTCCGGCGGGACAAGAACCGTCTCCTTCTCCAGCAAATCCCCAAGTTCCCCAGACTGATGCATTGAGACAAGGATATCACATCCGCCAATAAACTCCTTATTAACGTAGAGCTGAGGGATAGTTGGCCAGTTGGAGTATTCCTTGATACCTACTCCAGATCCCGCCACCAAAATTAGCCCGAACCCGCTACCATGGCTGAAATTGGCAGGGGAAATAAGAGGAAAAAAATACCCTCCCGAACCTCGTCATCCTCCAAAACATTGAAGGCTGCAAATTTCTTCGGGTCAACCCCCTGCAAGCCCAGAATCTGAATGGAAGCGCGGGAGAACCCGCACTGCGGGAATTCCGGAGTTCCCTTCATGAAGAGGACTACCGGCGCAGTCGACAAGACGCCCTCGATGGTCTGGCGGGTGGATTCTGAGAGCAACCGGAGTTGTTGTTGCTTGTAAGAGAACTTGTAGGCATTTGTGAAGGCTGGCATTGACGGGCGAGTAGTTGTCTGGGACCTGAGTTAGGGATTCTCGTTTTCTCCCGCCTCGTTTCCCCGGGCTCCTCTAGCAGTGGGTGACTAGGATGCCTCACCTGGGATAGTATCCGGGATTTCGACAGTAGGAATCTCATTTTGACTGTATTGTCCGAAAGAGCGTGGGTGTTCGGATGTTGTGGGGGCTCTGTGTGGAGGTGAGGAAATTGATGTCGCTAATTTTTTTGGAGGGGAGGTGTGAGGATCGCCTCTTGCTCGATGGTCTAACTTACCGTAAGGTTGGTACTGTACTGTACTCATACAAAAACTTTGGATGTTTTGGAGTCCATGGTCTACTACCGGTAGTAGCCACGGTCTTCTATCTACTTGAGCCTCAACAACCTCTCCGTAGTATTCTTGAGTGGAAAGTTCGGATTACTGCCTTTTCCGATAATATTCATGCCAACTCCCTTGAGATCACTACCCGAGTACCAGTAATATTCCTGTATGATACTGTAACTTATTTCTTAACTGGTACTCGAGTATTATCCATATACTTCTTTCGAAATATGCCAGTGAAAAGCTACTTGCTTTGACACGTCAAAACTACCCCTAGAAACCCGGGACTCTAGCCCCGATCCCAATGCATAGATTTGGCAATCACAATCGCTATCCTATATAGCGGTTTGGAGTGTCCTTTGCACGAACAAGATGTCCTCCGACTTCCATTTTCTGAGGGGCTTGAGGGAAATCCCGAATCTGTATTTGGTGTTCCAAAGTGCCCCCAGGTCCTGTCAGCGGGTCCAGGGCCGGGTCACACTACCGCGATTACGATACAACAGCACCGAATAGCCCTCGTCTCCCACGTCCCCGACCAACCAAGAATAGCCTGGGATCTCCTGCGGCTCGAGTTCGCAGGATGAAAAGCGATAGACACTGGTTTAACGGAGCCCATTTTCTCTAGAGATTACGGCGTGCCTGTGCGGAGATTTCTCTACCTGGGAGGCCTTCTCCTTTTCTTCCCCCTTGGTTGATGGCCTCACTTCCTCCAATTCGCGGTGCTGGTGGGGCTCTGGGTGATACCTGAAGAATGCTTGATGCTGATGCGGTGTTCTAGCCCTATGGGATACTACTCTACTATTGCTGTGAAGATACTCCACTTCACCTCGCGGAATATCCTCCTTGTGCGGTGCGTGAACAGTGCTTGGCTAGAGGAGGGCACCAGGCCCGCTTTAGAACCACACGGCGGGTAAGGCCTGCGCGCAGAACGACATACGATAGCACGCCCAATCATCCACGTGACCTCACCAGCCTCCCGGCTGGAGCTACTCCCATGATCGCAACTGCTCATACAGGAACTTGCTCTCTCATTGAAGGAATTTTAATGGGATTGGAGGGGTCAGGATATCAATGACAGCCCGGAGTTGATGGTAGGGGGAGATGACGGGGGTTTCGGAGGGAGGGAGCGAATGGCTAGCTCAATTGTGGGGAGGATTCTTGGTGTCCCTGAGTGTGTGGCGGTTCTCCGTGGTGTAGAGCAGGGCAGTGGTAAGTTTCTCTCATGCGATAGATATCCCACCTTGCACCCCCTCCCCCCACAGAACACACTCCCATCCCCCCAGATTATCTCACGCCACTTCACCCAACCGGCCCCGGTCAACTAGCAACCTATGAGGAGACATTACTCCAAGGAAGTTGAAGAGGCAAAAACGAAAAAATAGCCATTTTAAACAGCCAAAATGCTAAATACCGCGCCCGACCTTAACTCCGCAAATGCTAACATCCCCGTTTTAACAAAGCTCCCAATATCCGTTTTAGGAATCCAGCGGCACAAATGAAAGTATACACACTCTCTTGGGTATAGACAAGACAAGACAAAAGATGGAAGGGAGGAAAACTAGCAAATAAGAGAGCAGGAGGGTAGCTGTGCACGGTATGGTGTAACAGCTACCCCTGCTCTTTCTAACCCTAAGATTATTATACAGTAGAAGTAAATGAGAGAGTTGAGTAAGTGAAAGGATGCGGGGACCGTCAAAAGGGAAAATTAAGGAAAATGCTGATGAGAATATTAGAATATGCTCGAAGTAAACACTAGGTAAGTTTCAGATCCCCCGGAGCTCGAATCCTGTGGTGTGGTACATTCCTCTCAAGCCTTCCAGTGCGAGGATTCTATAAGCAATCAGTAACGGGCCCTCAGACAATATCCCATGGCACAGAAGTGTAGTCGAAACTCACAATAGCCCCAGACCGAAACCCCAGACAGCCATCCTTCACAGTAGGGACCATGTTTTCCGGGAGCCCCATGAATTCGTCAAAACTGATTACGCGTGGCACACCGGTCGAGCCATGTTCGTTCTCCGGCTTGCCGGTCTTGTTACCGGTAGGAGTGTTCGAAACACTTGCAGACTCATCATCTTCATCGGGCGGGCTCTCCTCAACCGTCACTGTTAATGGAGGCCGATTGTGAGAGGTTAGACTGTGGAGGTGCACTTTCATCAATCTGTTTCGATCAAAGGGTCTGTAAACGGATTTGCGCCATCCGCGTTTGCGAAAGGCGCTTGGCTCTGGCTCTGGTTGCTCCGCAATCGTTGGATAGGCCCAAGGGTCTTCCCCACAAAAATTGCTGCCGGAATAAAAGTCGCGCATGGAGCCATACCGGAAGGTTCTCTTGCCAGTATCTAGTTTGCTGTCCCCCGCGCCGGGCTTGGTTTGGGTGTCTTCCTGAGGGGCGCTCTTGTCAGAGTGTGTCTCTTCCCATCGTACCAAGCGCTTGAGTGCTTTTTTCTTAGGGGGCTCCTGTTGCGGTGATCCATGAATAGAGAAAGGTTCGGTAGTGGCTCCGGGTTCCGGGTTCTCGTTTCCGGGAGCAGGCTTTTCGTTGGGCCCATGGTTTCCTATTGCTAATAAGGCTTTCAACTTTTCCTGCAAAGCCGCTTTCTCTTTTTCTGACTCTTGAAGCCTGACTTGTAGCTTGGCAGCCTTCTCCGCCTGATTCTTGGTATAACTCCTTTGATCCTGTAGCCGTTTCTCCACCGCTCTAAGTTTTCCGCTATGATCCGATTCGCCAGTGGAATCATCAGTGACAAGTACTCTGCTGATACTGCCTCCAGCATATTTAATGGCAGGCCCCTTGCGAGCAGGTTTCTTCAGTTGAGCGATATTTTTTATCGCACTTATCCTGGTATCGCGCTTCGGAGCCTCCGTTGCAGATAAAATGTCAGGCAGAGTAGAGCCATTAATAAGCTTTCGAGCATCTACCCTAGCGGAAGCTTGAACCAATGTGGCACCATTGACCTCGTTCTTCTTCAGGGGCGCTGATGTCCTCAATCTCTCCGCAGCAGCAGCGGCCTTTGGTTTTGGAAGATCCATGATTTTCCGCGCCCTCCGAACCTTGATAGCTGTTTCTTTGATTGGTTGAGATGGTAAGCTCCCGTTGGTGATTTCTGGGAATTTCATCTGATATCTCTCGATTACTCGTTGCTTTGCTGTGCGGAAGACTTCAACTGGTGGCCGCTCCTGTGGAGTGCATCCCCCCGATATATCACTTGAAAGGGAATCCGAGCTAGGCGTGGTATTTAAACGGTTATCCGGCAATCCAGTAGCGCTCAGGGTCGGCGAGTGTCTACTGCGCAAGTCATTCTTGCGGTCTATCCTAAGACGTAAGCAAGATGGAGCTGGTGAATGGAAAGACGGAACTGTGCTATGACTGGGTTCTCGGGACATCGTACCCGCCAAATCAGGGCCTCTACAGTGCTCCCTACGGCTGCAGGATGAGCTGTTATAGACTAAGTTAGCGCCCCATTCTGGGTAATGAGGTGTATTTAGCTTGACACATACCATATATCAGCCCTCCTATTATCCAAGATAGCTATACCGGAACCACAACGACGGCATGATACAACGCTATCTACCGAACTACCTCGCGCCAGAGCCACCTGTGAACCGGGCGCGAGACGATTGGTTTCATTATGGCGGTGCGAAAGTGGACCGTTCGCTCCAATATCTGGCGGTGGGGGGCTATAATGTGGCGAAGAGACACCAGTTCCTTCAGAGGTGGTGCGTTCGACAGCTTCTTTCCCTCTGTGGGATAAGGAACTTGGCCCGAAGCATGGGGGCCCTCCGTTGCTTTGAGCATTAGATGGTTCATTCCATTTAAACTGTGTCCGTAATATTTCATGCTGTGAGTCTCCAACCGTTCCGTCTTGTGCCCGCTGCCCCGGGCTTGCAGATGGCAAGGACCGATAGCCATTGGTCGGTTGCCGTGAATTGCGCCCGTCCCGGTAGCCTTCGAGAGGCTCCAAGGCCACTGGACCGCCTATTAAATCTCGTTCACGTTCCTCTTCAGAATCTGGGACCTCCGAAACCGATGGAGGCCGCTTCAATCTCCTCCGACGAAGCGCACCACTCCCGTTTGCGCACTCAAGGAAGGAGCGCTGATCAGCTGAAGATTGCGAAAATTCTTGGAAGGTTGGTGAGTTGACTGCCCGGCGGAGTTTGGAATGTGGAATTGGGGTAGCGTCATCCCGGGGGTCCTTGATCGCCGGTGATGTGCGATTCCAACTTTCTTGGTAGCCATTGGTAGATGCAGATCCGCTGCGTGATCTATTATCAATCACAACAGCAAGTTTTCTACTCCCAGGGAATACATTCGCAGATCTTGACATGCCATCAGAGTAGTAAGGGAGCTCTAGCACATCAAACCTTCGCTCTGCCCCTGCATCAAACTCGCTCGGAACATCATGAGAACTATACTGGGGTACTTCTAGGCTATCGACGTCGGTTGGGAAGGCTAGGCTGATGCCGTCACCCGTGCGGTGAGCGAAATCATCCTCTCGGTCCCTCGGCGAAGTTATCTTACTATTCCCCAATGACCCGCTCACCCTTGCACCATGCGAATCCAGAGCCTCTCCGATTGGACGTTGAGGTTTGGAATTTCGAGAACAATCATACTTGTTTCGCGCAGAGCCCTCTTCTTGAAGATCAGCTGGGGAAAAGGTCATCCGGGTACTGCCTTTGGATAAACTACTTGATCTACCAGATGAAGTATCGGACGCATTAGCGGAAAGACGGGGTATTTTGCATGGCCTGGATCCAGTAGGCGAGGCTGATTGTCGACGAGGCCCATTACCGGGGTCAGCTAAATGAGTGGCACAGCGCTGGCATTCCCAAACCCTCGAATCAACATTGCTATGTGGAAAGAAAAGCGGGGTTAATACGGTAGTCAGGTTTAAATGAAATAAAAGGATAGGAATATATACTCACGTCACCCCTCTAGTTACCGAGATTGCTGGATCATGGCATGATGCGTGATAACTCCCAAGACATCTGATACAGCTAACAATTAAATCGATGGGGGTAAATTCTGGCTTTTGGCACTTGATGCAGATTGGCCCCTTGTGGGGACCAATATCTGATCCATTGTTCGAGAATACGGAACGCGGGGATCTACCACTTGATATTGACATAGCTGATGTGGCAGAAACCGGCGAAGCATTCCCGGGCTCTTGCACTGCAGAGCTCGTGTAAGGTATGCTGGGGATTTCATACGGGTTATCCCCTAAAGAGACAAATTCAGATCTTATCTGATTAGACTCGGAATTGGTGTATTGTTCGGGATGGTAGTAGCTGGAATATTCGAACGGTAGGAAACTCGGTGTTTGGAAGGCAACGGTTGTTGTGTGTTGAGCCCCAATCTCGCGTAAAGTATCATCCTGGCTCGCGTTCGTGTTTCTGTCACGTGTTGCCAAGAGTGTCAAAATTTAATGGTCTCTAGCAGCAGCGAAAAGAGAGTGAGTGGCAGGAACAAACCCATTTCTAATATGATCAAGATCTGGCATGCCGGCGCCATAGGAATAGTGTAAAGTGCTGTAATGGCCCGCAGCTGCATAGGAGAACAATTGATCGTAAGGATACCCCCCCATCGCGCCGTATGCTTCTTGTTCGTAGCCATTATCATGCGCTGCCGAATACCGGATCCCTTGACCAACGACTGGCTCAGGAACACTACCTTCCCTCGCAACGCTCTCCTCCCTGTCACTTCGAAAATGAGGATTTCCAGACCCCTCCCCATGACTAGAAAACCCTATGCTGTTAGTACTCTTGTGTTCAGCCCTACGCTCTCGTTTTCTGGATCGATCCCGTGAGGATCTCTTGTGGGGTGAGGTATGTCGGATCCTTCGTCGTCTAGATGATTCTCGTTGATGATGTCGGCGTCTGCCCCTCTCAACCGACCTTGACCGCCCCCCAAACCGTTCTTGGTTCCGCGAGTCATCCGTCGTGCTAGATCTCTCGGCGTGAGAACTGCCCCTACCTCCTTTCCTTTTTATCTTAGATGTAGATCTCCGGCTCCGATGGTAGCTAGCATTCCGAGAGGAGCTTTCACGACCGTAATCACGTCTAGCTCGGTGTGTACGTTCTGGCTATGCAATTTTATCAATATAAACCTACCTCTGCCGTGAAAATCAGAGTAATAATACCTCATGTCCATCACGATAGTCCCGGGTGCGGTTTTTGCTGCTAGACCACGGATACTCCTACCTTGCCAATATTGCTTGTCAGCTTAATACTCAAAGCAAATGCTTTATGAAAATATATGACTGAGATGGGAAAATCCATATCGCAGGGTTTCGTGCTCTGCATCAGGTCTTTTCAGTTCTAATTGGACCTCATCCTGCCAGACGCTTCCATTGGCTTGCCAGCATCCTGTCCCGCTAGGCCCAACAGCAGATCACATCCTACTTCCTACGTGCTCATCCAACCCACTTACTGCTCATCTGCAGCGAATTCCAATTTACACCAACACATGAAAACCACATCTTACCCAACCGCCACGAAGCATCAAATACCATCAAGTACGAATCCCCAAGGTTACCCCTCTGTGCACCGATGCCATTGGCTCCAGCCGATACTTCTACCTTCTCTGCTCTCCTTTGAAATTCAAACTCAAGCTCCGCAATGCCTTCACATCGCAGCACCCTCTGGTCACCCCGAGGCTCCCACAGAATGGAAAAAAAATCCCATATTGTCCCTAGACCGACCCCGACTTCCGCTCTCGACACATTCGAAAATGCGGGGCTCTAGGAAGCGGAGCAAACCTAGTTAAACATGAGACCTCTCCCACCCGTGAAAGTGGTCCGGTTAGAGTGAAAGGCCCAGCGACGTTATAAGCATAACAGAAACTTGTATCTGTCGATCGCAGTCATGCAGAGGAGGCTCAAATGGAGCTCCATTTGCGGTGTGCAGTCTATTTTTCTCCATTCACCATTCCTCAATCCCATTGGTCGAAAAAGAGGAGTTTGGTAATGACAGCATATACTTGATGTTTCTGTAGATGATAATTGATGGCCATGGTCGAGAAGACAGGTTAACACGCAAAGGCGAAACCGTAACCCAGCAGATCTGAGCGCTCGCCACGCCAAACGGGCATTTCGGAGAGTAAAATATGACCCAGGCCATTGTGGAGTCGCTAGATAAGATGAAGCTACCCATGATAACGACATTGAGGCAGTCGGACCTTTTACCAGATGATCATCATTTGCAGCAAGGGCTCTTGGTTTTCGGTGTCCTTTACTACTCTCGTTTCCCATACCTGTGAAGAGGAGGACAAAGTCCTATCCAGGTGACAACCCGTCACACAGCAGAGGATAGCAAGGGCAAAAACAAAGACAAAGACAGAAAAAGCAAAAACAGTAAAAGGTGAGGAAAGCGAAGGCAGGTAGAGAGAAAGAAAAGAAAAATAGAGAAACAAAGAAACACTTGCCTTGGAGCGAAATTCTTCAGGCGTCGGATGATTTGGGTCACTCTCACCAGACCCACTCTTACCTCTCCCTGCCATCACTCCCTCCCTAGTAAGACCACAGCCTCCCTTGGAAGGCAATGCAGCGGACCCGTTCGTGCGGATGTGTAAGTTCGCTTCGAGCACAAAGTTGGTAGAAAAGAGGGGGACTAAGTGGCCCTAAAGAAAATTCTTGGGTAGAAGTGGGGTTGCGGGTCAATTCCTGAAGGGAAAGACACATTTGTGAAATAACGAGGTTATGGGGTTGGGTTCGAGAGCTTTGGGTTGAAATGACGTGAAAGATAGTGACTGCTGTAATTGATATAGATGAATTGAACAGGCGTCTAGCCTTAAGGGAAGGGATGGGAAGGGAAGAGGGAACAGAGGATGTTATGTTGGTGGATGAGAAGACGAGGCAATTTCAGAATAGAAAGGGCAAGGGCACCAGGTCCCTTTAGGTGACTAAGCGGAAAAAAGGGTGAGGGGCGGTTCTCATGCCATCATACCCAACATCCATATCATACCGTAGAGTGCCGGCAGGTGGGCAGTTAGACTACCTCTAACCAGACCCTCACACGGTCTGCCATGATTTGGGAGGGTTGAAAGAGCGAGAGCACACCCAGTTCACTTTCTGGCGGCGTGGTTGGCAGGGCGCTGTTCACGCACCGACACCCAATCTACTCGAGTACGGTACGGCTAATCACTCAAAATAAATAGGCGTCCGCCTGTGGCTGCATCCCCCGAGTCTTAACAACTGCCTGCGCAGGGAATTTGACACGTCCATCCTCTCTGCTCAACCACTGTTTATGGCCGGCACCTCCATTGTTGAGAATTTAGCAGGCATCATTTGGCCTTATTATACGGTAATTGCATCCCCCGGCTCGAAGGCGAGACCCGATGCGAACTACTCGAGTACTGTACTGTACTCGCACATGGACGAAGATTTTTTATTTTTTTCCATTCCCCGCAACACCGCATCTACCAACCTCGTTGGATACGAACCCCACCGCATGCAGCCCAAGTTGTCCTGAGTCAAAATAGTGACCGACCGACAGCGTCTACTTATCTTCCAAAATTCTAGGGAGAAATCCTCTGCGCATCCTGCAGAACACGTCTTGTCCGTTCCCTTTGCTATTTAGTTTGCTCCCTCCATCGATGCTTTGCACGGGCGGTCCGCTCCAGTCCACAGCTGCCCTTGAGCCTTTGGGAGATATTTGTCGCTACTAGGCTACGGTAGCTCGTGTTCTTTTTCTACGGATTTTTATACTTGCCTCTCTCGCAACTCGGTATGGGGTTGATCCCAAACACGTCGGCATTTGAGCTAAGGCTCATGAAAAGGTAGGGTCATATTTGTGGTTTCTAACTCCTGACCTCGCTTGTGGGATTCGTGGTGCACGGAAGCCCGAGGAAAAAGAAAAAAACATATGCCGAGGTGTTTTTTTATTTATTTACTTTTTCCTTTTCCTTCTCCTATTGAGAGGATGGATCAAAGTTACAACGGGGAAGGCATTCGGTGCCACATCGAGGCGCTTGGGAGGGGCTCTGCAAATCAGTAGGCATAATGGCAAAACAAACACCCCAAGTATCGGCAGCAGCAACGAAGCGGCTGAGAGTTTGACGCATGTTTAAACAGACAGTTGTCTTGTGGTGGTGCAGATGTTGGCGACACAGTTCTGGTAAGGAGGTTGACCTGTGGTGCACAAAATTGCACTGATGGCAGAGCTGCCGTATCCGCCTCTCCAAGGCGTTGTCATCGAAGCTTAGGGATACGCAGGCAATAAAGGGCGTATACGAGTAATAAATCGTGCTCGAGTAGATTGTGGGGTGCAGCGGGTCCATCAATATTAGTAAATCTGGGATGGGCAGTGGCCTACGCTCACTTCATTGCATGATCTGTCGTTCAATCAGTGCAGAGGGTGAAGCATCCAGGATTATCTCGATGCAACTCCCCCACTCTAGTGACCGGCCTTCAGGCTAAGCCTCCAAGTCATTAAGCAGGAGACTCCTTAGCGTTTCATACATCTACTCACAGATTCTTTGGCCGATCATCACCGCTGCCAGCGATGCTACTGGCGACTCGTGGAAAGGCTGCTCTTCCAAGATTCCCTTCGAGAGTAGGTTCAAAAAGTGGCATCCGCTCACTTGCTGAGATACAAAGGGTAGGTTCCCAGGTGCCGATGATCAACTCAGTGTTGTGTTTACGAGCACACCTGGAGCAGAATCTTACACTTTACTTGAGGATACGAAAAGGCAAGTTATCTCGGGCTCAGCACGGCTAACCGGAGCCAAGCAAGGTGGTTTTGGACTGACTGCCTGGTGCTGTCGTCATACCAGCTCATAATACACGTTCATGCGGTAATACTAACGTACGGTACTCTGATCGCTTAGAGCCAAGGTGAGTATGAGAAAGGTATGTCGTGCTCCACTACACAAACAATCAACCAACCGGCGTTTCTCATCTGTGGTCCGCGGTTTACCACCTATCAACCTTCATCTATCATTGGGCGTCCAGTGCCTACATATATCCCACGAAAGCCAAATTTCTCACCGTTTGAGTGAGGGAGATCCTGCTGCCGACAGTCATAGATCTGGGCGGGATGGAGCCTCTCGGGGGGAACCAAAAGTCTGCTCAAGTACCGGATTTGGAACTGGAACTTCCCAGGATCCCGGAGAAAGCCTACATTCCTGGCTACTTGTCACGAGATCTAGACTTGCCAGCAGTGCTAGCTCCGCCTGATCCGCCTTCGTCCCAGTTGGCACTTGCGTTCGGGTCAGCATCGTCTCAAACTTCTAGTCAGGACGAAGACTCCGTTGTGGGCACAAAAGTCGCAATCTGCTTCTCTATGGAAGACGAGGGAACTGAATACTCGGAATATGTGCGTTTTGAGTTCCTGAATTTAAAAGTTATCTGAGTAGAGAGCTGACGTCTGGACATTATAGCCTAGAAATGACGAGATGAATCTAAAGCATCTCAAAGGCAAGATCAACAAACTCCAGCAGATCCGCAAAAACTCTGCTGGAAAGATAAGATTTCTGCAGAAAAGTTGTGAAGACGCTATGGAGATAGCTATGAACGCAGAAGCGGACCTTGAGCACGTAATGAAATTATACGTCTCCAAGGGCTAGTGGGCAAAGGTTTCTTAGAAAAGATTGCAGAAGGTTGGTGTTACACATTTGGGCGATTTCTCTTCTTCCAGATATTAATTTTGTTATCATTCGATTGGGCCGAGGCCACCGCTACAGCAGAATAGGAACCATTCCTCCTCCTCCTCCAGCCCGAACCCGTCTTCCCTGTTGTTGGTTATCGTGTGCCGGCGGAGGCGCAGACAGGCGTAGTATAGATAGCACAGTTTTCATCAGGGATCCTCGATTAGTTTTTGGTTTTTCTGTTAACCTCATTACCCTCTCCTTCTTAGCCTTGGGGGTGGTTATTCGTGTGTGATGGACGAGCAAAATCAGAGCCTTGTGCCCGGGGGGGGGTGGGGGGAAGGTAGTTATCCCATGTCGTAGAGGGTTTGTTACGAAATAGCCCACTCTTCCGGTCAATATTTGGTTTCAGACTGTCACACACAAAGATAGCCAGACCCAATCGGTAGGTCACTAGTTGGTTCGAGAAGCATTGGAAGGATTAACCTGAATACAATTGGCCCTTGGCATAATGCCATAGCTGAACGTTTGAAGAGATTAATTGTGAACTTTTTCTGATTTTTAGAAGTATTTTGGTACTAACGTTTGCCGGATCAATATCAGTATATCTCCCCCTCTCCTAGGCTAGAGGGGAGCGAAGATTACTTGTTTCTTGCTTTGAGCCCATCTTCGCCGCGGCCATGGAAGAGAAACCCCCAATTATTGTCACCGCCCAATCATACCGTGCGGGAAAACGGTTGCTGCTCCTCCGCTAGCCAACCGACTCCGCTTAACCGTTACCCCCACCCCACCAACGATGATATTACAAAAATTTACCCCCCAATCCACTAACTCTCAACAAATCCCCAACCGCATCCTCAAAAGCCTCGGACTTGAGCAATCCCCTCCCATCCCTTAACCTCCCCAATACCCCGGACACGGGGGCAAGCCCCTCGAAAACCCGACATCGGCATACCAAGCGCGGACCAACCCGCCGCAAATCGCAGCAACAGTATCAGCACCGTCGCCCGGATTAACCACCAAAACCGCCCCGTCCTCGAACGTCACGGTAGTAAATAGATCTCACAGTTCGGCCTCAATTGTGTGTAGCACATGCCCGGACAGCAAGATCCCCTCATGGGGGCTCATTCACAAACTCGGCGTTGGCAAGGGCGTCCCGCAACCTGCGGTTCACGTATGAAAACTCCCTAACGACCTGGAGCAAGTGCGCCTTGATCCTCCCCCCAACCCTGAACTTCGGTCCATTGCAATGTCTTGCACATGAGGAGAGTGTCCGAAGCACACGCTTCCTGACACATTTCGTGCGGGTGGTCATGCTACTATCCAAGTCCTTTCTTCCAGGTTCAGGTTGTGGCTCGACTGCGGCGTGTTGATATTTGCGAATGTCCCGCCCACTTAGGATTCCGCTAGCGTGCCGAGGGCGTTGCACATTGCTAGACCAAAGAGGGATGTTCGGTGGCGAGAGAGGAGGAGGAGGGGGCGTTGGAATTCCATGGCGTTGTTGGTGTTCTGTGATTTAGGCGAGCGGTGTCCGTGGTGAGTACTCGTATTGTACAGTACTCGAGTATATAGATTAATGGAGAGGGGGGGAGGAGTTTTCCCATAACTCTGTATGGTAGATATGGTATGGGCGGTAGATGTGTACCCTTTGGCCGGGAAAATTACCCCTCTTTGCTCCAGCATCTGCGAGCTTCATGCCAGCCTTCTGGGGTACACAATGAGACCCGCCCATGACGTTATCTCAACCCTTTCGATTGTATTACCTAAAAAATCGATACCACGACGCAAGGATGTTTGTGAGATCTGAAACCTATACGAGTAGTCTACTACAGTACCGTCCATACTCGAGTATCAACGGATCAACCGCCGTACCAAGAGCCCTTGATACAGTAATGGATGAGCCCCATCACACCAGTTCAGTCAAGATGATTTTCGATTAACGAGAAAACAAGGGAAGTTGCGCCACGGTAGGTTACCTTAAGATGGCAGCCGATACCGGTAGTACTCGTACTGTAGTCTACAGTACCCGCACGTGTACGAGTAATAGCACATTTGAACGCACACCAAGGTAGACTATCAAAACCGGAGGCGAAGTTCTGAGGTTAAAACGGATTGTAAAAGATGTCGCAAAAACTCTGTACCGCATCATACCTGCCAACAAAAAGCCACTAAAGGGTTCTACCACTCCCGCATCACGTATCGTTCCTGGGCCGTCTTAGAGTTCTATTGAGCAGAGTTCCGCAGTGTAATATCTACAGTACTGACCTCTCGACCTCAGTGCTCGGGCTCGAATCGAGCAGCAGGAAATGTGAGTGGGCAACCGTTGCAACTCAGCGACCAGCCCATCGTGCTAGCCCCACCTGCTGCTACCATCTTCTACTTACAACAACAGCCAACTTATGATACCTATTCTTTTTTTCCTATCTCGCTTTTATTTTTCTTTATTTTTCTTTTCTGCGGACAAGTCGTGCTACTTTTCACCTATCGATAGCTGATAAGACCTGGTTGGTCGAAGAGGGGGGGTGAGCGTTGCCATGCCAACGCTTCGCATATATGATGTAGAAGTCGCAACCGAGCGGAGTTGTGTGCCAAGACACTGCCAGTGTGGGGGTTATGGCGGCAACAATGCACATCATAGCAATAATTGAATCCGGTTATCATGCCAGTAGGAGGTCTTGAAATAGGATATTGGTGATGCTGGGAAATGCTATCTGGTATGATATGATGAATAAATAATTCTCCTTGATTTGTACTGTAGATATCATATATTTTGGACTATGAACTATGTATGTGCATTGCTGCGTGATTGTGAATGTCTTTTCGTCCAAGTGGTGAGGTTTGCATATCTTTATAACCAAATTGTCCTGTTTTACGGGTTTTTCGTTAAATTTAACACAAAAGCTTATATGAACTCGAGCTTATCTGATATTGCAAAGTGGTTGAACGAGTAATCCGTTCATAGTAACAGACCTTTCAGATTGCTCGTTATTGACCTTCGAGCCATTCAGCACCCACAAGACCAAAAAAAGATACTATAAACGTTGTTTTGTTCGTACCCCCTTGATAACACCTTTTTAACATAATTATCAATTAATTAGACCTTTTATGGGTATACCAAAAGCAGGACAACCGTTAGGGTTCAACTACCCATACTATGCAATAGGTATCACACCATCTCCTATAAAAAGTTCAATATAAAAAGATTAATAAAGTTATTGTAAACAATTCACCACCGGCATAGTTGGACAATAGGAGAAATTTCTAGATTTCCTATAGGCTATCGTACCACTGTGGCGCCGAGGTAAAAAGACAATAATACTGGGATGGAGTATCATAACGTGGATATCTATGCCGTAAACACGGCTTTTGGTCGTCACTCCGTCCCAGTCTTTAATTTGCGTCCAAGTGTGATACTCTATGAGGTTATTGTCCGTGGATTGAACATGATTTGGGAAGATGTTGTGGATGAGAGTTGAGATGAGGAAAAAACTTCCTTTTTAATTAATAATATTATATATATAGTATAGTACTGTACATCATATTAACTTAGTATACTCAAGTGCGAATCATGTTATCCGATACGGTACATTAATGGGAAAAAAAAAACACAGCAAGATCCAGCTCCTCTTATATCATAACGTAATTTCTGTACAAGTCACAGGAAATACAGCATGAAACAATACAGAGGACCGAATACAGAGTATTAAGATTTTCTAGCGTGCCAAACAAACAGTGCCTTATATTAAATGCTCTATCACACATACTCCAGCGTTCAGGTTCCGTTTCACCAGATCAAGATTTTCTCCAGTTAGACCCCAACCATCAGTATGATACAAAGTTATCAGATCCTGGCAATAGATAGGTTTCCAGATGTTCTGGATTCCTCCTACTTTTCTTTTCTTTTTTCTTTTCCGAATTATAATATCGTCTAGAATTTTGCGTTGGCAGTTGTCATGCCCTCACTTGGGGTGTTGTGTGCCAGTATCACGATGTTCCCGTACGGCAACTTATTCATATCATACCTATACTCGGGTATGGTCATAAAAATCGGAAACTAAAGGTGGCAAAACAGGGATAAGGAGGATCGGGAGATAAGGTTGTCTGGAAAGAATAGAAGTGTTGCCAGACAGCTTAAAAAAGGATATTGTTGCATCGAGTAACAACAAAAGATTCCGGATTCTTAGTGAACTTTTTATCATACATGTTCCTTTCTGAGTCCTCAACAATACCTGCCTATGATCTTCTAACTCAATCATTTGCCCTAGAAGTATCTGCAATTTCTGATAACATGCAGGTTACACTTCTCCAAGCTGGGAAATGCATGAAAGCCTTTCGTAAAACAGGGAATGTTCACAGCTGAAATTCCTGCGAGAATTGCACCTGACCTGATTAAGGCACAGCTCGTTCCTGGCCATCCCCAGAAGATTGATTTGCGCTTAGCTTACTGTGACTTGTCTGTTTATTAAGTCCACATAGAACCCTCCAATACATCTCCGTCAGTGAGCTAAGATGCTAAAAAATCTAAGGAATAATGAACACCCCTGGGCTGGTGGTGCAGCAGTGTTCAGCGCTTTGAATAGGCTAAGAGGACATCTAGGAATACTTGCTTAGAGTTACTAACCTTGTTTGCGAACTTCCAATTAAACAAAGTATGTGAATTCGCTTCGTGGCCAGTTCAAAGTGTTCATTATTCCCAATACTCATACTAGGAAATTCAAAAGTCTTTGCTAACTATACTTTTACATGAGATTGTGAACGTGAATAAGTTATTAGAGTGCAGGGGAAATACTGTGATTCGAACCCAGGGGGAAGAAAGAAAAAGAAAAGGTATAAAGATACTCATAGGATAAGAAATATACAACCAATAACTTAGGAAACTGAGATAAGAATACTATAGGAGTAAGAATAATCAAAGCAATAACAATAACAATAATAATACTCATACAAAAATAATATAAAAATAAAAATAAAATACTCAGAACAGTGTATGGCCACCATTGGCTTCCAAAAGTGTAGAAATGCGATCAGGCATTGAGGTTCTCAGGTTTTGAATATCTTTGGGAGAGATATTCTGCCATTCCTGAAGAATGGCAGTATGAAGATAAGGAATGGTGGTCGGATGTAGATTAAGGTTCATGATACGGCGCTTTAGAAGACACCAGATACCTTCGATCGGACTCATATTGGGAGAGCTCGCAGGCTAAGGGAAAAGGTAGTTTTCAAGGCTAAGGTCCCTCAGAGTATCTTGGGCAATACGGGAACGATGGGCAGGAGTATTATCTTGTTGAATATAAATATATCCAGAATTTGTACTACCAATAGAATGCAGGTACTGCCACCAAGGATGTAACTGAGGCCGGATGATCTGACCAGCATAGATAGACCCATTAATATTTCCCCAGTTCGGGATATCCCAAATAATCAGAGCACTCTTCTGATTTCGGTAAATGGCCCCCCAAACCATGATCGTTGTAAGGCGCAGAAACCTTGGAATAAGACAGTCTTCCAGATATTCTTCACCGGGACGACGGGTAACCCAAATGGTTCTGGTAACCTCACCAACAGAAAACTCACACTCATCGGTCCAAATCACATCCATCCAGTCTTCAGCTGTCCAATCATGGAAGCGCTCCCCCCACTCCCAATGGTGAGTCCAACTATTGTCAGAAAGAAAGGACTTGATTTGGGCAACATGGTGGTGATACCCTTCGCTTTCAAATACTCTTCGCAAAGCCTTTTATCCTAGGCGAATGCCCTCTAGTTGGGCAACTTGAGTACAAGGAAGGCATTGGTTATGAGAATTCACTGTCGCAGTTGCAATAAGGCGTGTACGGACTTCATTGGTGACAACTGAATGTCTACCACACCTATGGCGTACTACCTGGTGACTAGTCTGCCCTGGACTGACTTGGTACGTGCTAGTCTGCTCTCCCTCAGAAGAGCAAATAGGTGAGTGGGTGATGTGATGTAGAGATCCAAGTGATATTCCGAAAAATTTGTGGAGGCGGGGTAGCTCCATTGAGCATAGAATCGGAGTGCACGTATCGTTTCATTTATGTATGGTGGATTCTCTTCTGAAGCTTCTGGCTCAAAAGAACTACCAGTAACACTAGCAGGATTTGCCATCTCCCCTGCGGGTTCTGGCCATGGTTGAATGGTAGTGGTAGAGCTGGAAGGGCTGCCCGGCGGGAGCTCAGTGGTAATGTTGAAATTCATAGCTCGAGTATCTTCGAAATACTCTACAGCTAATCCGAGTTGGAAGGAACAACAAAGTGACTTCGCTCTCAGCCTAAAATACTATTTACAGCTTCATATTTCTAGTGTGTTAGCACTGATTTTGTATGTATTGCATAAGTATTTCGTCAGGACTCGAGTACTCCAGAATTCCGCTAGAATTTTTCCTCTCAGAAAGTGTCATTCTTACCTCGTAGTCTTCGCTGACTTCGTATTATCTCGTATTTTTCTCACCGTCAATCACCTACTCTTTTTTTCATCTTGGACCGGGTTTCTGGACACTCAATCCTTGCCCGAGATTTCCAGGTTCTGCTACTTTCTGGCTGGCAACGCACTCTGACAGGGATTCTCATCTTTCCGATTTTTAAGACCATACCCGAGTACAAAGCTAGTATGGAACCGCAGCGAGAATCACCGGGAAAGGGTGCGTTTCACACCCAGAGTATCATAGCCATGCTGACAACGTTACAACACCACCCCTATCCCATCGACAAAACCCAAAATTTACTGCGTATCCAAGAGAATTCTTTGGACTTTCACTTCTAGTTTTCTAGGATTGACCAAAGAGCCAAAAGCGACATTAGGTCTTGGAGCCTTTTGTATGGGAAACTGTTTTTTTTGGCCATTTTTCAACTTTCAATGGGATAATTTTAGCTGCTAGAATATCAATTTGCCTTTGCTGGACCCAAGTGTTTGTATGTGAGAAGTTGGCATAGTTCTGAGGCCTGTCGTAGTATTTTTTGTATTCTTTGAACCCAACTGCTCGAAACCGGCTACTTTTGATGTGGTACGCCTACACTCCCGCTGATCTCTGGTAGCAGTTCCGTGCGAAAAAATCTTCCCGGATCCTTGTACTATATGATACTGAAGTTATCATTACAGAAGAGGCTGGTATGAATATCATTCGATTCATCGAATAGTCGCTCGGTGTATCGATCAGTGATGCCCTTAAACAAGTACTCGTATTTTGTAAAAAAAAAAAAACCCCATAATATGCATCCTGTAGCCAACACCGGGGAGATAACATGATAAGGGAAAGTAATGATACAGCATCGCCGGGTGATAAAATGTAAAGGGAGAAAGGAAAAAAGGGGGGGGGAGGAAGAATGGATAGAGCCATCGTCCCTGACAGCAACATGATTGACGAATGAGTTAGGAAAGAGATAAGAGCAAGAGGCTAAAGACTGTCGTAGAATAGTAGTAGCAAAAGAGTAGCAAAAGAATATAGTATTAAAGGGCTCGAAAAGGATGGGGAAGAATAAAAGGGGGAAAGGCAAATGCAAGTAGAATCCCCAGCAACCAAATGATATAATACAAGAAACCTCAATGGGGAAATGATCCCAAAGCTTGTGCAAAAGGAAAATTTATCTGGGCATTAACATTGGTGATAAATTGTGGAAAAGGACTACTTCTTCCGAGTTGCTCTGGCATTTTTCTTTGGAGAGCCCTCGGGAACCACCTCCTTAATACTACTCAGGGATAGTTTCGTAGCCTTCTTGCCTCTCTTTTTAGGCGTGCTTGGGGCCTGTGGAACGGCTGCCTTTGCAGACCGAGTTTTGCGTCTGGATCCACCCCCAGCGGTATCTGTTTCGCTTGCCGATAACTCAACCGAAGAAGATCGAGCCCGATTGACGATGACATTCCGATTCCGAAGCGCCCGAACCTCCGGCTCCTCCGAACTATTCCTGCTAGGCACTGCTAGTTGGGTGGAGTGGCTACGCTTGGTCCGTTTGGGAGCTCTGCCATTATCACTTTCGCTGGCGGAAGGTTCGACCGATACTGATCGGCCACGGTTCACCACGACATCTCGATTCCGAAGTGCTCTAACTTCAGGCTCTTCGGAACTCTCCCTACTGAGCACCTTTGGCCATCTCCCAGAATCGTTCATTTCAGGCGTTTGGGGCTCAGGCAGGGGGGAGCGATCCTCGGGGACTGGGGTCCTTTCTGGGTCCGAGGGGGCATTGTCAGGCGAGACTGGTCTCCTGTTGGTAAAGGATGCCGGCTGGCTTGGAAGCAAGAAGGTTGAACCGAGGCTGCGATCAGGGTCTTCATCCTTGTTGACCATAGGAATTTCCCATTCAACAATTCTCTCGGTATCGGAATCGTCCTTTTCAGTCTCCTCTTCTTCTTCCCCTTCAGCTCTAGCATATTGATCCATTTCTGCGGAGTCTTCAGCTGGTTCAGAGCCAAATTCCTCTATGGCTTCATCCTTGCTGACCATAGGAATTTCCCATTCAGCAATTCTCTCGGTATCGGTGTCGTCCTTTTCGGTCTCCTCTTCATATTCCCCTTCAGCTCTGGCATATTGATCCATTTCTGCGGAGTCTTCAGCTGGTTCGGAGCCGAATTCCTCGATGACTTCCTCGATCTCATCCTCTTCTATCGCACACGATCTCTGCATAGCAAGAGCTTCGTCCTCTTCTTCATACTCCTCCTCAGCTTCTACATCCTCTTCAAATTCATCTTCTTCGTACTCTCCTTCTTCTCCCTCTTCATAATTTCTTGAAGCATCTTCCCTCTCGTATTCCTCATTCTCATAATACCCCCCTTCACCAGACCTCTGGGATGAGCCATCATCAGCTAGGGCGACTTCTCGAGTGGGTAGGTGGGAAAATGAAAATGAGGACATCCTTTTCCGCTCCTCTATTCTCTCCATTTCCTCCTGCAGCTCCTTCTCTCTCTCCAGCTCTTGTCTAAATACCTCTGCCCTTCTAATCCTCTCGTCTTCCTCCATTTGTTTCCTAATAGCTTCCTTTTCCTTCTGTCTCCTCTCTTCCAAGCGATCAGCCCTATTTCCCGCGAGGGCTTGCTTCGCTTTATCGAGGCTACTACTGAAAAATCCAAGAATGCTATCAGCTCGAGCCCTGTTTTCCGCCGGCGATGCCCTGCGAGCAACAGGAGATACTCTAGAGGAAAAGGACACACTAGGCGAGCCCCCAGTCGGCCCGCGATGAATCGGGGTATGCGCACGGGAAGTGATCCCGAACGACTGTACAGTTGGAGTATTCGCACGCGAGCCATTAGCCGTAAACCGGAAAGGGGATGGTGGTGGTGGTTTATTGTCGAAAGAGAAGTCAGGATGGTGAATTCTCCTAGTGGGCGTAGCAGCGGGTTTATCAGGGACAAACCCCCCAATCACTGACATAATCCTCGGAGCAAAAAGTGACATTGCCGACGCAACCGAACCGGCCCTGGAAGAAGGACGACTATAACTCCCATTAGAGTCCTTACCACTAGGACCGGCGGCCGATGGAGTATGGCGGAGAGTTGATGCACCAGGGCTCCTATTGTTCAACGCGGCACGCGCAGCAAAGGGAGAGATAAGAGGTTTTGGTGCAAAACTTCGGACCTGTTCAGCAAGCCTAGACCTGCCCGTACTGCTTGTTATGCTGTGTGTATCTGATCGTTTTGTCGAAGTTAGGCCGGAGGCCGAGAAAGTGCCCGTAAGTGTTTGTGAACCGGCACCCCGATTGTACTTCGCGAATGGACTATTGACCCCATCCAGAAGGTTTTGAGGAGCCGGATTGCAGAGAACTGTTGTACGTCGGCGTTTGTTCGGAGGTGCGAGAGATGCTGCTGTGGATGCGAAAGCTTCCGAGCGAGGGTGCTTTCGCGGCGAAGATCCAGAGTCCATAGCAAAAGCGTGTGTCTTCGTTTTTGGGACAAGTCCCGGTAAAATTAAGGATTAACTGAGGGGGTAATCGTAGGAAAATTATCGTTTGTGGGTTTGCGACTCAAAACCGTACAAGATGATTGAATGGGGCGATGAGCGGCACGAGGAGGCTGCAGGGGCTCTCAAGATCGATAGTGAAGTAAATTTCAGAAGAGGGAGATGTAGTGGTTGGTTGAGGTAAGCGTGTGGACAAGGAGTCGAGAAACCCACAAAGCCGGTGTCCCCAGTGCTCAAGGTGTTCTCGCCAAAGATTTCTTTGATGACTAAGAAAACCCCAAGCATAGTTGACAACAATACAACTTTCAAGTTATTCAGGATGCAATGCTTGCATCAATAGCAATGTTTGAGGAGGCAGGAAATAAAGCAGCCCTCTGTGACGCCATAGTATTATAGCACCATGGTCTGTTTGTTTGGGTGTTTCTTTGTTTTGTTTTTCTCCTTTCCCAATGGTCTTCCCACTCCATCCGCGCAACACCCCAACACACATCCCATTCAAATACACACTTGCCATTGATGGTCGGTCCCTGGTAATCGTAGCCTATTGCAGCTCACGCTGCCGAGTTGAAGTTTAATACCCAATGCTGGAAATGATCATCAGGCCAATAGAAATAAGCACGACGCTATTGAAGTGTTGGATTCGGTACTATTTACTATGGCACCATACACATTGATTTCTTTTCTCATGCTGTTTAGTATTTAGTTTGAGTTTGGCCGTTTGCTATGGTGCTCGACTTTTTAACACGTATTGGCGGTATTCAGATGTTAATATAGTTAGCCATTGAGATTGTTCTGACCTCCATGAAGAATAGCCTGGCTAAGCTCTTTATTCCATCAAAAGATGAATATTTTTGATGAATAACTTCCTAGGAAAGGTCTCTCATGTCCTTATTAAAACCTCCTTGGAAGTGTCAATCGTCTCTTGCCTTGTACCTACCCGAGTACAGTACTCGTACATACTGACTGACAAGTAGATACCTCATCCTTCTCATAGTTCCAAAGCAGTACAATCTGATTCAAACCAGGTGATTTTAAGGATCAATCAAGCATAATAGTTCCTCGCTGAAGTTGCTTCTTCTACTCGTAATTGACCCACCGTGTCATCTTATATACAAGTATCATACTTTTGTTATTTTCTTCTCTGCCGGGGTTTTTTTTGTACATTTTATTTTCAGATCTATTTTCATATCGCTCAGGATGTCCACAACTACCTGCTTATTTTATTTTTCACCATTATTTTTGTATTACTTTTATTATCCCATTTCCACTCCTCAAAAAAATATTCCTATTCATCCAACTTGACCCCCCAAGAATTGCTATAATACCTTTGGTATGATATTATCTCGTCGTTTGTAGCCTTGATCGTGATAGATTTCTATGATAATATATTGCTAATATTGTATCTGATCATTCATGGCAACCTTGTGTTTACAGCAATCCCTAGTTTATGCCGTCCCGCAGCCTGGTAGCCTTTCACCCATTGCCCCATCGATCATCTCCCTGTTCCCCATTTTTTTCGTCCCTGTACGAGTACAGAACCGAACAAGTGAATCACAGTCCTAGTACTCTAGCAGTGAATGGATTGCCCGAATGTTTCGAGATATCAAAAGAGATTTCACACCATGCCATTGGACTACGAATCTCAAATATCCTACGACGGCATAGACTAAGGCGGACAATCACAGCATCAGAGGGTGTGGATGCCAAGCTGCTCTACCGTAAATTCCCCAGAAGAGCGTATTTGCCACACACCATTAGGCCTTAAGAGAACTAGCGGCTACCCTAAGAAGTATAGTTGCAGGTTGAGGAAGCCCAGAATTACGGTACTCGAGGCTTTTTATATTTTACTACTCCTAACTTGGGCCATGGGCACAGAACTCCCGACTTGAAAAAACGTCGGGCACAAGGCTTGAGGCTAGAAAAGTGGAAACCAGTCCTGTGGTGCCGGGCGCGTGAAACCGACCGTCTGAGCAACTTGAAAAGTTGGAAAGAAGCCTCGAATGACAACAACAAACTTGGGGCGTAGTTGGAAAACAAGAGTATACTCGAGTAGATGTGATAAGGAAGTGGGTGAGAAGAGTTCTATGAATTTGTTTTTCAAATTAATACAAGGGGGGGGTTGGGCTGTCCATGTTGGGTGGGAGGAAATTTGCAAAGGGGAAAAAAAAGTGGGTCGCCAAGAAATATGCCTAGAATGGTAAGTCGAGTGACATATGATGATGAATAGTATTGTGTTCGGAAAGGAATGCCAAGGGTGCCAAGCAAACCTTTTCATTGATGAAAGATCCCTGTTCAACACCATCAAGGAGTTAACAAGAAGGTTATTTCAGATACCCGGCACTATATCGCAGACGAAAACAGCCCCAGGCCCCTCATCACCCCGCGTGGACCTCCAGAATTAAGGATTCCCCAACAAACGCTCCGTATTACCAATTTTCTCTAACCAGATTTCCCGAACATAAAACTAGACAACATGGATATCAGAGTTCTCCAACCATCAGATATTCCCCATGTACAATTAGCGAACATCACGAATCTTCCAGAAAACTACTTTTGCAAGTACTACCTCTACCACGCCTTGTCCTGGCCACAACTTTCCTACGTTGCTGTTGACCTCTCCCACTCCTCTGGCTCGCCCGGCGAACCTCCAAAGATTGTCGGATATGTTCTCGCAAAGATGGAGGAGGAACCCGCCGACGGAGTTCAGCATGGCCATATCACCTCCCTGAGTGTCATGAGGACACATCGCCGACTAGGTCTTGCGGAAAAATTGATGCGCCAGAGCCGTATGTGCAATGTCAATCCCATATATCGTCCGCTGCCTACCCAGCTAATTTTACTTTATGGTGAGCAGAGAAGGCCATGGTTGAAGCATTCGGTGCAAAATATGTTTCCCTCCACGTCCGTGTCTCGAACAAAGCCGCGCTACACCTATACCGCGACACATTACAATTTAAAGTCAACAAGGTGGAGGGCAGATATTACGCGGATGGAGAGAACGCGTATTCTATGAGGAAGGATTTGACCTTTCTGGAAGAAGCTGAGAGCGAGAGCGAGAACGAGGGCGAGGAGAAGGTTGAGGATGTGGGCATTGACGGAGACGTCCCTGAGGGAGGCGAGAAAAAGAAAAAGAAGAGTAGGGCGAAAAAGTACAAGCTAGGGAGGGCACTTGGGGTTGCGGATTTACAGGAGGTTGACGGGAGGGCTTCATAATTGCTTGGAGAAGCATGTCCCACAATTACTCTTTCTTTTTGCAATGGTGTTTTTCGGTATTAAAAGTGTTTTTCTCTTCTCTCGGGGACTGAGGACATCCGAATAAAGTAAACCGCTGTCACGGTAATATAGGAGATGGAATGTTAAACAGAGTGATGAATTCGCTCCTAGCTGAAGTAAGCCCAGAAGATATTAGTGAAGTGAGCGCTGCAGCATTAGACTATATGATGGTTGTTGCGGTATTTCAGGCTTGGTACCACACACTACTGCCTCCCTAGAAAAATGGATTCAGCTCTATGATATCAACAATACCCTCGATGAAGTTAAGGCCGCTATTCCTTCGTTTCGAGCCTCGTTAGCACTTCTGGTAATCTGCTAGCATGATACCCTATTTTTTTTTTGTTGAAGGCCGAGGCTTGGCCACAGCCGTCCTAAAAAGTGGGGCAGGCTTTCCTGTAATTCGCTATCTCTGGCCCCCGCTCTCTGGGTTCAGGGACGAAAGGTCCTGGGAAGGATAACGCTTTCCTGACGCGGTGGAGACCGAGCTCTCCGGAGGTGTTGGATCTTATTAACTGATGCATAGCCCAGCAGGAAGTTATGGAACAGTTGCTCGAGGTTAAACCAGCCAAATAACATATATCCATCCTTGTTCCCCCTTGATGTATCCCTGCCCTCGAATCATACTATCGGTATCTATCATACCTGTACAAATATATCATATCGCATGTAATTCTATTAACCTGTCAAACTTAACCTATGGTGGGCTGGTCCCTCCGGTCCGATACCGGTAGACTACGGGTACCCTATCTTACGGTCCCCTCCATGTCCCGCCAAACCTTGGCGCATCAAACTCATTTCTAAATTCTCTAATTTTGGTCTTCCCCCTTAAAACTTTCGACGAGCTCCCCAACGACTTCGGGATAAACCAAAACCCTTAACCAAATACCAGCCGCCAGTCATGACTGATATCACTTCGATTCTTCAAGGCGGGTACCATCACCCACTTACCCGCAAATGGCAGGCAAAAGCACAATTAACCAAGGTAAGAATTCTAGGTTTATACAGCAGTCCGCTGTTTCTTGACCCTCGGTTTTATGAGGACGAGCTCGATTTTGTGCTAACATCGCTCTGATAATATAGTCGATGCTCGTTTATCCCATCTTCATCACCGACAACGAGGACGAGGAAACACCGATTTCGGGCTTTCCTGGCCAAAAGCGGTAGCTTCCCATCTTACCTCTTTACTCTGGCGCCACTAACATCATGGGAAATTTTTAGCCGTGGAATAAATAAAATCGTTCCATTTCTCGCACCACTTGTCGCCAAAGGACTTGCCTCGGTCATCATATTCGGAGTTCCTCTTGCTATTGATGCTAAAGACCCCTCGGGATCTAAGGCCTCTGATCCCAACGGCCCTGTTATCCTCGCCATCAAAGTTCTTAAAAATGCTTTCCCAGGATTGTTCATTATGGCAGATGTTTGTCTATGCGAGTACACCTCCCACGGCCATTGCGGTATCTTGAACGAGGACAGAACCCTGAACCAGCAGGCATCAGTCAAGCGCATCGCAGCAGTTGCAGTCGATTATGCTCTTGCCGGCGCGGATTGTGTTGCCCCTAGTGATATGAACGACGGCCGTGTTAAGGCTATCAAGGAGGGACTGATTGCTGCTGGGGTTTCCCACAAGATCATGGTCATGAGCTACGCTGCCAAGTTTTCCGGATCTCTCTATGGTCCTTTCCGTGATGGTAAGTGCAACCACTACGTGCTACTGCTCTGCTCCCTGTGCAGTAACATTTTCGGCATTTTTAGCTGCCGGATCTGCGCCGTCCTTCGGCGATCGTAGGTGCTACCAACTCCCCCACACTGGGCGTGGCCTTGCCCGTCGCGCAATTATCCGTGACCTGGCGGAAGGTGCGGACTCCATTATGGTGAAGCCCGCAAACGCTTATCTCGACATCATTGCGGACGCGGCCGAACTGGCCAAGAACGTTCCGGTCTCCGCCTATCAGGTTAGCGGTGAATTCGCCATGATCCACGCCGGTGCCACTCAAGGTGTTTTTGATCTCAGGTCTATGGCTTTGGAAAGCTTGGATGGGATTTTGAGGGCTGGTGCTACCATTATCCTTACCTACTTTACTGAGGCTATCTTGAACGAGGGGTGGTTGGATTAGTAGATTGGTTCTTCCGGTCGGAATAAATACGATTTCATTTTATATTCGTCTTGGGAACGATTAGCAGATGCTCTCTAAGGAGTGTCAAGTGCTATTCTCTATTTTATTTCTGATGTTTGGCAGAAATTCCCGGAAATGTATTTCTATATTATCAAACCTTTTCCATTGATAGAGAAGAATCATGAGACATCACTCGGTAATGTATTTCGCCACCGCAGGATGAGCTTTGATGATCAATTTACACTCAGTTATGTACCTAGAGGTAGAGCTAGTGGTTAAAAAAAAAGTCTGGGGCCACTGCTGTAGCGCTTTGAAAGAGATGTAAACCTTCAACCCTCCGGTGGGCCAGTGTTAATATCCAGATCCGACTACTTGTATCATACTTCTAATATGCATACCTGACAGTAGTCCATCATAGCCCATGGGATCTAGTAAATCAGGCATCTCCCCACCTTTTTTACCTTTTAAACCCAATCGAAAGACCTACGTACGGCACTTTGTTCCTCATTAATCCTCAGTGGTCGCACAGTTAAGCCAGGCCACACACCGTTTTGGTAACTACGAGTGGGATATAGCTAGATATCTCGGTATATGGCCAGCACTACTTGGGGGGGCAAAGGAGCGTAACCGCTTGCCGAGGCCTCAAGTTGAGTGCCTTTAGTCCACACTAGACCATTAGTAATTTGATATGCTGTACATCCGGTTACCAAACTTCTGAAGTACAGGATATTGGGTGGGGATGAGAACACCATCACCACCCCCCTGAATCAACGTTTGGGATAAACGTAAGATTTTCGATCTTCTCTCACAGCTTAACTCCTAACGTGAACTGGGAAAGGGTTAGAGCCTGAATCTTCCGGAGCATGTTTAGATCGAGGTTTCCGTTGTGCGGTTCCCATCAGTGGATCTAAGTTCTGTTGGGTTCTCTTTTCTCAGACTTAACCCGCAACAGAACTAACTCTTGTGGTTCTTGGTTATTCTGTTTGAGCGTGGTCATGAGGAACCTGAGCGTTGGCGTCCCGTACCAATTATTTTATCTTGGCATAGTCGTATATACGGCCGGTAGAGTATACTTCGAAACGATAGGAAAATATTTTAGTTTCGGGGCTATCACTAACGCCTATTTTCAAGTTTGTTGGGCAAGTAGTTATATTATCATACTATTCGTTGCTGAGGCCAAGAGGCCCCGTCTAGTGAACTGTGCAGCAGGAGAGGCGCCTTGAAATACTGCTATTTTTGAGAAGGTGAGGAGTGAAGAAAGCTTGTTACAATATTACTATAAATGTAGCACATGTAAAGCAAAACCAAGTCAGAGAGAACAACTTGATTTTGCAATACATTGGCTTCTGCTATTGAGATTTCTATTGCTATAGAATCACTATAGATTACTGCCGGTGGGAAGTAATACATAAGAGAAAAAAGACAGTTTGTATGTATTTTTTTTTTTCAAAAAAAAAATAAAAAAAAGCTTATCAGATTTTATCCTTTTTCTCAGTGATTACTGTTCTTCAAGGAACAGGTCAGAGTTGGATATTTTCATCACTTGAGCTTATAAGATCCCTCAGATTCCCCACAATTTTATTTGTCCTTATAGATCTTTCTCCTGCTTATATTAGTATTGTCCCACCCACCAGCCCACCAATTCCTCCATCCCATTTGTATATTCTTTTTTTACCTTTTTATATTGGGGAAGGGGGGGGGGGGGGTTTCACTCACCTGTTTTTTTTTTTTTTTTGTTGGTAGATTCCCATCCACCAACCCTCCTATGATTCCATCCCACCATATATAATTATTCCCTATGTGTCATTATCTGTCCAGCAATAAAAAAAGAGGAGGGGGTCACAACTCACCTGGGAATTCCATCCTGCTTACACAGGATATTTCCACCCGCCAGCCCACTTAAAATCCGTCCCGCCGGTTCCTACTCCACAACTGTTTTAGTTAGTAAATATTTTTCCCATATAACTATTTTCATAGATTATTCTCCTGTTGATGTTAGTATATTCTACTTTCACTTATATTAGCAAAATCTCCAAAAAAAACCTAATTCCCAATCCTCCCAAGGTTTCGTCAGTATGTAATGGCAGGTCACCCGCCCACCCATCCTCGCAGAGATTTTCCAATGTGTTAGCAGGTTGCCCACCCACCCACCACAATAAGTTAAGCATCCACTTAGTGGAGCATACTGCATAAATGTTACTATGAAAAATAGAGAAATTATTAGAACAAAACTTTAAAATAAAAAGAAAAGATTTTTTTTTTTGATTAATAGACAAGCCATATAGGCATGCTTTTGAGTAGCAATTCTCTAGTAGTAATAGTATAGTTAGAAGTAGGAGATACTAACGTCGAGTTGTATGTATGTCTTTGTAGAGAAGAGAGTTGAAGTGAGCAAGGAGAAAAAAAAAAGAAAAAGTGAAGGTGGGGGAGGATGCCATTATATAGATCTTGCTCAGAAGTGCCAAGATAGGTTAGTGGAGGGGAAGAAAAAAAATTTTAGGGTTTAAACTTGTATAAGGAAGAGGGGAGAGGAGAAAGGTGTGGGCTTGCATACAATATACATCATCAAGAGAAATATAATACAGCAACAGAAGTTGAAAAAAGAACCAGTTAGTGAATTACATTAACCCTTACTTATTTATTCTCCTTTAGTGATAAGAATTAAACTAATTGATAGGTGATTTTCATCTTATCTTATTGTTGTTTATAGTCCGCAAAAGTAAGTGTGATTTATTAGACTTCTTTTTTTCTTCCCAAGAGAGGCTTATATAATACTACTTTTCAACTACTAGGCCTGACTTCTAGCAATGAAAAGCTATTCTATACTAGCAAAAGTTTTTTAATTAAATATAGAGAGCCTGAATAGTGGCCAAATTTTTTTTTGATATTCAGATATTTTGGTATGAAGACTTATACAAATTTACACCAAGGCGTCTCAATATTTAAAAATTCAGTTAGTACCTGTTCACTATATCAGTTTCCTTTTTGCAATTATCTGCCTAATAGTAATTCTATTATAAGAAATGCTAATTCTGTATCTTTCGATTGAGTCTATATAGTTTACTTATATCGAGTGATAGTAATTTTCTTTTAGGCTATTCTATGTACTAAATCCTGCTGTATGACAGGTTCAGATGAGTTTCTTACTCTATAATTTTTACTCTCAGTCATATAAAACTAGAATTATATAACTTTCTATAAGGAAAAAAAAAACAACAACAAAATGTCTCGTATATTATACTTATTTTTATATCTTATTTGCTTTCACCAACTTTAAGCAACAGTAAAATAGGAGGTGAACTGACTATTAGAAATTCTAAAGTACTACTCCTGCTTGGAGGCAATTTGTACAAGACTGACTACAATTTCTTATTTTTCACCTTACCTTGCAGTAGTTTTATTCCTGATATCCTCCGTTTTCTTATAATAACTAGTATCTCTTGACAATTTTAGAATCTTGAATATTTGGATAGTATACTAAGTGGTTAAATTAGAGTATATTTTATAAAGACATTGTTATGTATATCTGTTAATATGAGAATTATTAATTCTTAGTAGCTATTGATACTAGTAGAAATCTATTTCCTCTTCAAAGTTCTCAAACTTTCTCTTATTTGTACTTTAATCTCTTCTTCTACTATACTACTACTTCTTTTAACTACTCCAATTTCCTCAATCTCCTATTTTCTTTACTCTTTAATAAGAGAATTATTACTAATATATAAATAGATAGTTTGTAGTCTTCACTCTCAACAACTAGGAGTAAATGACTAATACTAATAGTTTGAAAATTCCTGTTATATCAACTCTCTTTATTTAGTTGTAAACTATCTACTTGGCCTTACCTACTGTCAGTATAATAATATTAACTCATCTACTCTCTACTATACTTCCAGTAAATCTTTTCTCTTTTTAAGATTTTATAAATTTTTTTTTTCTTTCAATTTCCTCCAGATGCTAATAGCCAGTTACCCTCATGTTTTACTATTACTCATAGTTGGTGGAAGCAAGTATGACGCTGAAGTAAGTGTAACACAACTTTTTTTTTTTTTTTTTTACGTGATACTTATGATGTATCTAAATAGAATTTCAATCAGATAGTTTATTGAGTATTGTATTGAGTTATTCATATTTTTATAAATAAATCTACGGTATTTAATCTTGAATTTGATATACATATTTATGTTCAAGTTACTATCATACTATCACCATCAGAATCTCCTCCAGTTTAATAATAACTTTCAATTCAACCTCTGCTTGACATTTTATTTGTTATCATTCTTTCTCTGAAGGTGATTTTCCTCCTCAGTTGTAGTCTTCTTTTTCACTGTCTAATATCTGGTTAGTTTTTAGAATATGGAGAATATTCAGGCAGGAGATAACCTGGTCGTAGCCAATACTCAAGGTTCCATGTAATTGGCAATGAAGAACAGACAGAATTAAGCCTTGGCATGGTTAGAGCAACAGCCTGGAGAGAAGGTAAGTGTAGCAGTACAGTTGTTTAATATAAAGACAATAGCAATACGGATGCATCAATTATGAATGCGTAATTAGTAGCGAAATATACATGGAAGTTTCAATCAACATAGAGGCAATAATATTATCTGGACACCAGCTTAGGAGAAGGCAGTTTATAAGTTTTGTTATCCACAATGGGAGATGGGAATTGCAGCAATACCATCTATAGTTTTTACAGCTATTTGCAATCTTCGTCAGCAAGAAAAGCTTAATTCTCCCTCACGAGATTGATTTCAAAGATGGATTCAAAGAAACCCTATCCTACATACAATTAAGAGCAAGCCGATAGCCCGAGTTAGGCTTACAACATATTCAGAGATAAACTTACATGCCTTCTTTAAGAACTATCAGGAAACCTTAGAGAAGTACAGCATACAAAGAGCAAAATACATATATAATATGGATGAATCTGAAGTATAAATTGAATGTGCAGGAGGAGAGATTGTAATTGTTCCTGCAGAGACTAGGGAGTTATATACCTCAAGCCCAGAGAATCGGCAATTACTTACTATTGTTGAGGCAATTTGTGCTGATGGAGGACCACCACCTCCTCACCTTATTATTTGTCCAAGAGAAAAGATTATGGAGAACTGGGTTCATGATAACCTCAATAGTACAGAAGTAATTGCAGTATCTCCTATGGGATATATA